GTGTTCCATTTAAAAAAATAAAGTTGCTAGGACTTTTTGATGGAAGTGGCAACGCCGCAATGCTGAAAATATTTTAGATCGATAGAACAGGTAAGGAAATGTGAGAGGTGAAATTTTCAGAAAAATCATGTTTTGCGTTTTCCAGAAACGTCTAACCTACCATCGACCGTGAGTCACGCTGTTTACGTAGTTCGGCGAATGTTCGTAGGCGAACGATTCTTCAAATCTGTATTCTCGATCATATGAAAGCATTCATACACTTCCGTTTCTGCGATTGAAATTCAAGTTGGCAAGTCGCATATCTGTGAATGTTTCAAGAATACGAATACCAATTGTAAGTACTCCGCTCCATCAGAAACAATAATCAAACGTTGGTTTTTTGACTTCGAACGTTTTCTGGTCCTAGAGACACCGATGATGCAGAACGCAGTGGACATCCAAACGAGGCAGAAAAGTGAAATTGCGATTGGCGTGAAGTTACCCACAGATTTCTGGCCACACATGTTGACTTAGAGGAAAATAAAAATCTGTGGTTGGGATACGAAATTATTAGCACCCGTACTAATATCTGTGGCTGGAAATAACTATTCACTATATATTGAACGTGAAATTATTAGGACTATTTGGTGTGAAATTTTTTATAGAATCTTGAGTAAATTGACGCGTTGATAATCGTTTTCTCATCAACAATACACATTTAGGGAAAAATAAAATTGAAAATATTAGAATTACCTTCCAATACCCCATATAAAAATGATATCCGATGATGTGCGTCCATCAAAATCACACAACTTCCATAGTTTCTTGAGTAGATCAACTTGGTGATGACAGTTTTCTTGTCATCTAAATAAGAGTTGTGTGATTTTCATGAATACAAGGAATCTCAAAAATGAGTCTGATTGTTTCAACAATTTCTTTTTCGAAATCTGTTTAGATGACAAGCAAACTGTCATCCCCAAGTTAATATTCTCAAGAAACCATAGAAGTTGTGTGATTTTGATGGACGCACATCATCTGATATAATTTCTTTATGGGTTATTGGAAGTAAGTCTAATATTTACAATTTTATTATTCCCTAAATATGTATTGTTGATGAGAAAACGATTATCGACGCGTCAATCTAGTCAAGATTCTATAAAAAGTTAAACACCAAATAGTCATCCTAGTGAATAGGTATTTCCAGCCACAGATATTAGTACGGGTGCTAATAATTTCGTATCCCAACCACAGATTTTTATTTTCCTCTACGTCAGCATGTGTGGCCAGAAATCTGTGGATAACTTCACGCCAATGAAATTGCGTGAGTTAGCTGACATTGAGAAGAGATAAAAGAACGTGTTGGCTTTACGTTGCATGAGCATTTGACTATGAGAAAGCCCTGTTCAAAGTCGGTGCCGCGCGAGATTCCTGTTGACCAAAAACAAGAACAAATCTAAAGAAATGAACTTTAAACGTTCAAGCCAGTCTCGATATACCTACACAGTAGGTTGAATAAATGACTGATGCCTATCAGCAAACAACTACTCCCCTGGCTAATACCACGAAGGGCGTTTGGATTATATCCGACAGGCGTCAGTTCAGGAATCTTCACAGAAAAT